CGGGGGGCAGGGATGGCTTTGTGGGGTGCTGAGGCCTCCAACTATGTGAAGGGTACCATGATATGGTGGCCTGGACCTCCCTTCGTGCATCTGTACATGTGTTCTCTCTAGGCAACACATGGCTTGGTCTGAATGTCACTGCTGTCCCAAAAGGAAGAGAGTTTTCTCGGGGGTGGGGCTTTTCTTGTGCTGCATTGGGGACCCTGTGTTCTGGGCACTCACTGAAGGCCCTGACAGGGAGCCCTTATCTCCTAGAGTCACCCTCAGTGCCCGAGTCAGTCCCCCCAACTTGGTGCCATGGGGGAAGGGCAAGCCTGGGGTCCCGGAAGCCACCTGCCCAGGGCGTGTGAGATGGTCTCTTCAGCACCCCTCCCGCCAATACCCAGCCTTGTCTCTGGTTTCCTGTCAGTCTGTCCTCCCCAGGGAGGGGAGGGGCGGCTAATCTCCACTGCGGTGTGGGGGCGGGCTCCACGACCGTTGGGCGCCCTGAGATCTGGCCCACGTGGCCTCGGGGTTATAAGCCCTGCCCGCCCTGAAGGGAACCCCACTTGGGAGCCTGGAGCACGGGGCTTGCTCCTCTGGGCCTTGCAGCATCAGGTAAGGATCTGGACCTTCACTTCAGCCCCAACCAGGGCTCTTCAACTCTTGGCTTTGGGTTTGACTTGTAGGCATGGGTGGAGATATTTTGGGGAGGAACTTTGAGAGTTTGGATGCCAAGGCTTACTAGCAAAGCTCTAGGCAAAGAGGTGCCATAACCCTCAGATCTATCGACTTTCGGCTTTTGTGGTGGAACAGCTACTCAAAATCCTGGGCCTTGACGTCCCTCTAGACAAGGAAGGTAAAATGGCTCCTGGCCCCGATGAAGAAAGCGGGGGTCTTGGATTTCAAGGGACAAAGGCCAGAAAGTAGGGTGGGGATGGCAGGGGGTGGGTGGTAGCTGAAAAGTGGGACTCAGAGTCATCGAGACACACTAAATGGCCCCTCCACCCAACATGGCCACCATCTCTGTTGTGATGGCCTTGGGCTTCTGCCCGGGGAGCTGCTGGGTGGTGAGGGAGTCAGGGCCGTGGGCTGGTGAGGTTGCGGATGGAGGCCTGGGTGGGAGGAAGCTGTGGCTGCCTCAGTTGGACTCTGGAGGGCAGGTAGTGTGGTTGGAAGGGGTCACCCAGGGGGTCAGCACTGGGTTCAGAACCAGAGTGGTGATGGTCTCTACCTGAGTGTTTCCAAAGGTGGGGGGATGGGGTGGAGCCGCAGGGGGAAGGGAAGAGGGAACCAAAGAGGAAGTGGGGGGAGGAAGGAAGGGGAGGCAAAGACTGGCGCCATGCTGAGTCACCGCCCACAAGGCCCAGTGCAGGCCTTCTGGGGACCATGGGGCAGGGCGGTAGGGTCTTAGGGAGCCACCGGGAGGGCTGGGGGGGCTCTCAAAGCAGGAGTCAGGAAGAGGAGCAGGCGGCCTCAAGAATACTCAGAGACGGACAGACAGACAGTGCAGTCACCCATAAAGTAGAAAGCACTACTAACAGCACTGGAGGGTGTAGTGTTTCCTACTTTATGGATGAGTGTACTGTGGGCTTCGGAGACCACACCGCCGCCGCTGCCACCGCCACCGCCATCTTCCTCCACGCTCAGGACCGCGTGTGACAGGTGAGCCCCTCAGGCACCCTCCCCACCCAGCCCGGATCCTTGAAAGGCCTCCACTGTCCCTCGTGGCGTCATCCCTCCTGGTTCTGGCCAGCCCGGAAAATGCCACACGAGCGCCTCTGCCGCCCAGAGGCCTGGGAGGGCTGTACAGCTGGACTTGCCCCAGCCTTGGAGAGGCCCCAGAGGCCCCAGCGTGGGGGCCTGGCCACAAGCGGACAGATGCCAGGACGAGGAAGAGGCTGAAAAGGAGGGTAGATGGAGGGGGTTGGGGGGTGCCAGGGGTCCCAACACTAATAAAGAATGGACTCTGCTTCTGTTTCGTCTGAGACTCTGTTGCTGGGGTGGGGGTGCTGAATTGGCTTAGCGGGCACACGGGTGGGGTGGGCACACCAAGGGGTCAGGAGGGAGAATCACTCACTCTCTTGAGAGAAGTGGGTTTGACTCTGCCTGTGAGACCTGCAGAGAGCTCTGGGCCTGGCCAGCCTGGGAAGGAAGGAGGGGATCGGTAAGTGGGGGGTGGGGTGGGGTGGTGAGACCTCCCTGAAAAGCCAGGAAAAGGGGCGGGACATGGAGGGGCAGGGCTAGGAGGGGCCCTCCTACCCTCTTCCCCAGCTGTGGCCCTGCCCTGACCTCCACTTGCTTTCCACACCCCTAAACTGAAAGTGGCCTATCTCCAGTTCTATCTAAGGAAGTCCCATGGGTCCTTGGTAGTATAAGAATCGGGTATAAACACACTATGGCACACACATGAAGCATCTCATACATAAATAAGAGCACAAATACTAATATATAATATACATACACACCATTATGCATGTGCATTTCCACTCAAGGACCCTGCCAGCACATATGCTATCAACAGACGTGTACAGCGACATATACATGTGACATGCTTGGCATGTCAAATAATGACACACAGATATACACACACTCAGGACACATACATATGCAATATACACACATGCAACACCATAAACACATCTGAAGTGTGCTACACATAGAAGAGCATACAAATACACACATAGTGATATTCACATAATAAACACATTGTTTCCATACATACATAGGCTGACACATTCATACATGATTATAGATATACAGTAGATACATGGTGGCATATATTATCTAGATGCGTAGATCCAAATAAAATCATGTCATTGTCATTACACAAATTTACGTGACTGCATGAGAGTGTGTCATTACATATTGTGAAATGAGAATGTGTCATTACATATTGTGAAATGTCAGAACGGCATGCATATACACGCACTGTGACATACATGTAATTTATACACTTCCAGTCTTAGCCTCACATACACATAATAGCATGCAATGCTGTGGCAAGGAGATATGTAAGCAATGGCACACACGTAGAAACATGCATACATGTATACCCAGTGAGACTCACAGACACATAATAGCACACACACGTTTCCGTGTACACATGCAAACGAATACAATGGCCGCCTCTCACGTATACAGAGTTAAATACATGCCTATTCTAGACATGCATACCATACACACGCATGCAAATAATGGCTTGATCTACACACTACTTTAGGGAAGCGAGGCTGCCACCTCCTCCCTGAGCACTCCCCCGCAGTTCCATCAGCTTGGGCCTGGGTGGAGCCCGCAGTCAGGGGCTCCGTGGCTCAGTGCCGTGGCTGCTATTCCCCAGGGTGCCACACGAGGGCCCCCAACCTTGGCGGACGCTGGCTTGGGTGCAGATGGACTTCGTCCCAGGTTCAGAGGGGGCAGGCGCTGCCTCCCTTAGGCCCCTCCCAACACCCCAGTCTCTGGGGACTTCATCTAGGCCCCTACCCTACAGACAGGTCGACTTGTGTGGGTACGGGAGTTCCCATGTCCTTGTCCCCAAAAACCATCTTCCCATAAGCACAAAGGCCTAAGGTTAGACAGAGGATGAACTTCCTTGCAGTTTAGGGCAAAGCCAGCCCAGCAGGCCATATGGTCTCCCCGGCTGGTCAGGTTACCTCCGAAATGAAGTCTGCCAGGAGAAAGCTGAATCAATTCCCTCAGCCAGTTTCTACCTCTGTCTCTGTTTCTGTCTTCCTGTTTTCATTTTTTTGATTTCTCGGTCTCTCTTTTTCTTTGTTTCATCTTGAATCCCATGTTTTCTATACCTATCCTTTTCCATGGCTGGCTCTGTCTATCCGTCATACCACCTCCTGTCTCCGTCTCTACTGGTCTCGGGCGGGGGCCGATGTGGGGAGGACCGTCTGCAGCCCCCTCGCTTCTGTACAAGGAAGGTATAGGGGCATGTGGGGTCGAAGGCCGAGAGGCCACATGTCAGGAGTACTGGGCTGGGATCCCGTGAGGAAGCAGCTCTTCCCTCTGTCCCGACCCTGCCTGCTGGTCCAGCCCACCAGTCCAGCGCCATCACCATGGAAACCAGCAGCCGACTTCCTATTGGTGGGCGGAGAAGACGGCAAGGGGGAGGGGAGGGCTGGCTCTTCTCTGCTCCCCCCCCCCATTCTGAGGCTCAGCCCTCCTCTGCGCCCATCTCGGGGCTCCTGGACTGTAGGGGACCCCTGCAGTCCCCAGAGCTGAGGCCGGCAGGGACAGAGACTATGAGCCAAGCAGCCCACCGACCCAGGCCTCCTTAGGACCTGCCGACTGCCCAGCAAGCACGAGAGAAGCAGCAGAGAGGAGGGCAGGAGATAAACGACCATCGCGGACAGCTGAGGATCACCCCCAGCAGCTCCTGCACACCCTAACCAGGCTGAGGGTCGAGATGGATGGCCAGACTCGCAGATGCTGACGGACATACAATGACACTGATGCACACAGCCGCACAACACTGAGCTGCTTGGATACAACCAGTGACAGCATCACACACTGCCACAGCCCTGCAACACAGACACCCACACACAGAGAGAAACAACTGGCAACTCCGAAACAGGCACAGACAGGGACACGCAGAACCACTACCCCCAACACACACAAGTGGGGGCATCCCTCCTCCAAACACACACCAGGCAGCGCTGCCCCGAACAGACAGAGCTAGAGACACACGCAGACCTTCACCCAGGCACTGCTGTTGGTGGCCTCTGCACATCCTCCCTGCCCCCACGGGGACACCCTCGCTCCTCCACACACTTGCACGCACACACACACAGCCACGAGCAGACATAGCTCGCATACCCTTAGCTTCGGCTCTGGCAGCTCTGACTCCTGCAGCCTCCTTTGTGGGTGAGGAAGATCGGCCAACCTTGGATGGAGCCTCAGTGAAGCCAAGAGCTCAGAGAGGAGAGGGTCTGGCCTGGCATGACCCTCGCCAGCCCCTCCACTTGTCTGGGTGATGTCCCCCGGCCCGGGTCCTGTGGCCCCTTGGCAGTATCATGGAGCAACTGACACCCCTCCCACGGCTGGGGGACCCCAGAGCCATGGAGCCATGGGCCCTGCCTGCCTGGCAGAGCTGGACTCCAGGCCAGGGGAGGGGACCTGGAGGCGCGACCCCAAGCGTTGCTGATACTCAGGCAGCTCTGCAGGTTGGAGAGCCGAGGCCCGAAGAGAGCTCCGAGCCAGAGGGAGCCCAGAGTCTCGCGACTATGGGGGGTGTTGAACCCGAAGGAATCAAAACTGGGCTGCCCAACCTGAGGCATCAAGCAGCGAGCTCCAGACCCAGCTGCCCGAGGCTGGAGGATGAGGAGGTGGAGACTCTCCCTAAGGTAAGGGAGCTGGGACGGCTGGGGTCTACGTGGTGGGGCCTGTCATGATATCCTCCGGCCTGGGCACAATATGCAACCCCACCGCCAGCCTCTCCTCTCCTGGCCTCTGTCTGGGGGTCCTTCTCTGTGACTGTGTGCCATGCCTTCTCGGGGCAGGAATCTCAGTGGCTCCATTTTTTGCCATATGTCTGTCCTGACTCTCTGCCTGTCTGCTACATCTGGCCCTGCCCCTACCCTTCCCTTGGTGATTTTCTCTCTGATGGTCTGTCTGTGTCTCCTCCTCCAAGAGTCTCTGTCCTTGAGGGCTGGAGGATCCTGGGGGTGGTGGGGATTGTGGAGGTGTATGGTGGAATCAGAATTCAGAAGAAGGGGATTCAGGGGAGGGGGCTCAGTGCTGGGCTGAGACAGGTAGGACAAGGTTGGGGTAGGTGTGAGTGGCCTCCTATAGAAGATGGAGGGACCAGGGCTTTGGGGAAGGAAGGGGGACACAGGGAACATAAGGAGCCGGGAGGGGTGGGGCTGGGAGCTGGAGCTGGCATTTCCCAGGAAGAGATGGGCAGAGATGGAAAGAATTGGGTACTAGCAGAGATGGTCCCAAGGCTGGGAGAGGCCAGTGTGGGCCCCTTCTGGGCCTCCTATGCTCGTTCGTCTCTGAAGGCCTGGGACATGGGGGGAACCCTCTCGTCTCCATGTCTCCTTAGACCACTGGTGGGCAGGATGCTTCCATATGGAGGGCTTTGGCCGGGGAGGGTGTATTCCTGAGGTGCTGTGCCCCATCCTTTCTCACGCCAGGGCCAGCTGAACATGGGCTTTGGGGACAGGCCCAATCTGGAGCTGCTGAGGGCCCTGGGGGAGCTGCAGCAGCGCTGTGACATCCTTAAGGAGGAAAATCAGATGCTGGTGAGGCTTGGAAAGCAAGTCCTGAGTCCTGATTGGAAATGGGGGAAGGCAGACTCAGATGCCCCAGGCTTGTGCCTCAGCGTCCTCCTCGTCCCATATATGATCCCTCCAAGTGGGGGCTACCTGGAAGTGATATGATCCCAAGACCCAGAGAAGGTGAACCCCTATCTAGGGTGGCCAAGGACCCCACTGAGAGCCCCGGGCTCTAACCTCTAACCCAAAACCCAGCCAGTTAGGATTGGGTCTGTGGGGTGCTCCCCACATGCCCCAATTCTGGCTGACCCCTTGTCAGAGGAAGAGCAGCTTCCCTGAGACAGAGGAGAAGGTGCGGAGGCTGAAGCGGAAGAATGCCGAGTTGGCGGTCATTGCCAAACGCCTGGAGGAGAGGGCCCGCAAGCTGCAGGAGACTAACCTGAAGGTGGTGAGGACAGGAGGCTGCTGGATGGAGGCTGGGTGACCAGGGACAGGGGAGCCAGGCCAGGTGTGAGGGAGTGGGACTTAGGAGTCATGGACTCCTAGCACCCAGGAAAGCAGGAACCCAAGGCCCAGGGTGTAGGAAGGGCAAGTGCCGTCTGGGCCAGGAGGCTGAGGGTTTCTGGGGTTACAGGAGGGAGGGAAGGGCTGGGTGGGGAGTTCCTGAACAGGCAGGGAGCAGGTTTCTGGATTACCACGTGCTGGTGCTGGCTGCAGCCTCCCGCTGAGCTCATCTCTGGGTGCAGAGCTGGTGGGGGCAGGGATGAAGACCCATGACAGTGGCAGCCCTGAATTTACTGCATCCTAAACTAGGATATGGAGTTAACCCTCTCAGTTCTGCCTGAGAATTGCTGGGGTGGGGTCGAGTAAGTCTAGTGGTCACCTAGAACCCCCAATACGGGGTAGAAACAGGAGGCGGGTTTTCATCCTACCCCCTCCATTGAGAGGAGCTGAGGAGTGGGAGACGTGCCCCAGCCCTCAGATGACCCTTGGCCTTGCCCCTTCTCTGGCCAGGTGAGTGCCCCTGTGCCCCGTCCTGGGGCCAGCCTGGAGTTGTGCCGGAAGGCCCTGGCCCATCAGCGAGCCCGGGACCTCAGTGAGACAGCCAGCGCCCTGCTGGCTAAGGACAAGGAGATCGCTGCCTTGCAGCGGGAGTGCAGGGAGCTGCAGGCCAGGCTCACGCTGGTTGGCAAGGTGCGAGGCCCCGACACCCCTTCCTGAGCAGCCCTGTACAGGGCCGCCTGCCTGGCTTGTGGGATGCAGACGAGATGTTGATGAGATGCAAATGAAGCGGGAAGGTAGAAGCTGCTGGGGAGCAGGTTCCCCTGGCAACGGCCCAGGTGGGAGCCCGGAGAAGGAGCCTGAACCGAAGGGGGTTGAGCCCCGAGTCCCAGGCCTGGGAATTTCTGTGCTCAGGCCTTCGGGCTGCATGCCAGCGGGTCTGGCTGTAGGAAGCCGCACTTATCTCACAATTGTGTGAAGCGACGGTCGCAAGGCATTTAGCACGGTGCCGGGCACACGGTGAGTGCCCAGTAGAGGAGTTAGCTGTGACCGTCTGCACACGGGCTCGCGGAAGCATGTGGCTGCATACGCGTGCACCTATGACCAGGCATGCATGCAGGCGAGGGGGGCGCGTTCCCGCGCGTCCGAGCCCCTCCTGCAAGGTGCAGGGCGGGCTCGGCCGGGGATGGCGCGGGGCGAACTGAGGCTTGGCCTGACGCCCCTCCCTGGCCCCCAACCCCAGGAGGGCCCCCAGTGGCTCCACGTGCGGGACTTCGACCGGCTGCTACGCGAGTCCCAGCGGGAGGTGCTGCGGCTGCAGAGGCAGATCGCCCTGCGCAACCAGCAGGAGCCGCCCCCGCCGCCCCCGCCGCCCCGGCCCCCGGGACCCGCCGCCCCGGCCAGAGCAGGGGCGCCCGCCCCCGGGGCCCCGGGAGAGGTGAGCTGGGCGCGTGCGGGGGGGGCGGGGCGCTCCGGGATCGTCCCCCGCAGGCGCTGGAGCCCCGCGGCCCGGCTGCTGGCGGGCGCGCTCCGAGCGCGGAGGGGAGGGTCGCCCGGACCTGCGCCCCCCGCCCCCGGCCGCCCGGGTCCGCCCTCCGCGGGCCCGCGCCCCGCCGCCCCCGCCGCGCTGCCAGTGGTACCGCCCGGCCGCAAATCCCCGGTTGCCCTGGCAGCCGCCCGGGGCCCAGCCCGCGCCGCCGCCTCCCGCCGCCGCCCGAGCGCGGGGACGCCCCCTTCAGCGCCCCCCGGGTCCGCCAGGCCCGGCCGCGGCCCCCACCCGCCCCGGGGGCGGCGGTGCCTCCGCCTCGGCTCCAGGTACGGGCGGCCCTCGCTGCGCGCGGGGCTTAGGCTGCTTCTGTCGCGGGGGCTGTCGTGGGGGAACCCCGCCCCGGGCCCCCCGAACTCAGAGGTCCGGCTCCTCTCCATCCTCTCTACTTGGGCGGCACCTCGGTTCACCTCCTTCTGGCAAGAGGGGTGGGAGAAGGGACCCCCTAGCGACCCAGGCCTCGGGGCGTGAGGCGCTTCTGGCTCCGATTTTGCCCCTCTGCCAGGCCCAGGGAGGGAGATGCACCTCCCATCAAGGGCTGCCCTCCTCCGCGGTTTGCACCCAGAAGTCTGAAGTGCGACGGGGTGGGCTCGGGGGAAGCTAGGAGGAGAGTGGCCGGGCTTGCACTGCTCTAGGCAATGCCCGGGTTTGGATGATCCGGAATTCCTAGCTCTGGGAGTAACCACAGCCCCAGGGGCCCCGGCAGTCTCCTAGTTCTCTGCCAGTCACTGAAGGACACCCAGGACGGTTATTGAGTGCAGAGCAGGGCCGCTGTTGGGAGCTAAAAACGGAAAGCTTTGGCCTGGATAAGGGACCCAACTCCCAGGGCACACATGGGTCTCAGGATCTCCAAGCAGTATGTCTGGAGGACACAGGGGAGCAGCCTCTGCACTTCCACATCAGTTGGAGATGTGGGCAGGCTGCACCACCACCCCCTTCTTAGGCAGGGATTGCTTTGTTGACTGAGAGGGGGTGGAGACTGAGACACACAGGCTGGGCTGGGGGTGTGGTGGGGGCAGGCTGCCCTGGGGCCCTGCTCTCCGGTGCCAGCCCCCATCCCTGGGCATTTCCAGGCCACACCCCAGGAGGATGTGGAAAACCCACCTGCTGGCCTAGGGGAGCCAGAGAAACAGCAGAGGGTGCAGCAGCTGGTAAGTTCCAGGGTGAGGGTTTCAGGCCACCAGTTGTGGAAAGGTTCGCCTTCCCACATGAGGAGCCCTTGGTTCTGACCCCACAGGAGTCGGAGCTCAGCAAGAAGCGAAAGAAATGCGAGAGCCTGGAACAGGAAGCCCGGAAAAAGCAGAGGCGATGTGAGGAGCTGGTGAGCTCCCCACCAGGGCCTCCCCAAGGCCAGCCATGTGGTGGGCTCCCTCTCAGCTCTGCCCTCACCTCACCTTTCCTTCAGGGCTCTCCTGCCCTGCCTGGCGCAGGGTCCAGGTTGGGGGAGGAAGGCCTTGTCTGGGAGGGCCAGGTCCTCGTGTGGGGAGAAGAGGAGTGTGGGTGCTGGGTCCCCTCTCCAGAGCTCCCCTGGTCTCTCAGGAACTGCAGCTGAGAGAAGCCCAGAATGAGAATGCCCGCCTCGTGGAGGAGAACTCTCGGCTCAGTGGGAGGGCCACAGAAAAGCAGCAGGTAGCAGCGCTGCCCATGTGCCCTGGGGCCTGGGCTTCTGCTGGGGCCCTGGTTCCTGGGCGAGGGGCTAACTCTACCCCCTGAACGGGCTAGAGTATGAAGGGTACTGTCCCCCTGGTGAGGGAGCTGCTGGGACAAGGCTGACACACCTAGTTCCCTGCGGCTCTCGCTCTCCAGGTGGAGTGGGAGAATGCAGAGCTGAGGGGCCAGCTCCTGGGGGTGACACAGGAGAGGGACTCGGCCCTTCGCAAGAGCCAGGGCCTGCAGAGCAAGCTGGAGAGCCTGGAGCAGGTGCTGAAGGTGAGGAGACTGTGGAGGTGGGGGGAGGGCCTCTGTCCCTGGCACAAGGAGAAAGTGAGTCTGTAGAATGTGCCCTATGTGGGGCACTGGGGTATGAGGTCCAGTCCTGGCGCCGCCAACCCCTGCACTTCTTTGGCCTCAGTCTCCTTTTTAACAGAGGGTATCTGGAACACATGGGGTCTGAGGCCCCCCCCCCATATTAGATCCACAGAAACGGAAGAGCGGGGCCCTGGCCTTGACTCAGAGTCTTGTGTTTTAGCATATGCGGGAGGTGGCCCAGCGGAGGCAGCAGCTGGAGGTGGAGCATGAGCAGGCTCGCCTCAGCCTGCAGGAGAAGCAGGAGGAGGTCCGGAGGCTGCAGCAGGTGGGCGCAGGGGTGAGGGAAGGATGGTGGGCCACCGGAGCCTCAGTCATCCACTCATCCGATGAGCATTTACTGAGCACCCACTGAATGCCAGATTCTGTGCCAGGCACTGGGGGACAGTGGTGCGGAAAGATCAGGTCCCAGACCAATCAGCAAATAAGCAGATGCTCGAGTGAGAGGACCCCAGCCACTTAGGGGCCTAGTGGGGGGAAGTGGCAGGGTGACGTGACCCAGTGAGTGGGATAGGGCAAGGGGCCACTTTAGAGAGGTTGGCAAGGAAGGCCTCTAGCACCTTAAGAGTGAGAAGGAGACAGCTGAAGAGTACGCCAAGTGGGAGACTCAAGTGCAAATGCCCTGTGGCAGAAAAGACTGTGAGGTCTAGACCAGCATGGCTAGAATACAGCAGGCTGTACAGAACAGCAGGAACGGGCGAGAGCCAGATCTTGTTGGGCTTAAAGAAGTTTGGATATTCTGTTCTCTGAGCAGCTGGAAGCTGTTGGACGGTCCCAAGCAGGGGGGAAAAGCATGATCTGATTCATTCTTTCAGAAGGTGACTGGAGCAGCAAGGCGGCAGGGGTGGGGTGGGGGGAGGGGTAAGGGAGACAGGTGGTCAGGTGTTAATGCTGCTGTGTTGGGGGTGGTGCAGATGATGTCCGTCTGGATCGGATGCAGGCAGTGCAGGTGGAAACCAAGGCAAAGATTTGAAATACATTTTGGAGATAGCACTCAGAAGACTTCGTAGGATTCAAGTAGAGTTCCTGCTCCTTTTGGCCATTTGCTGAGTAAACCTGAGGGACAGCGGGGCTCTCCACTCTCCGAGAGGTGAAGGATAAAGGGGCAACGGATATGAGAGTTAGGGAGCCCTGGGTCCTGAGTTCGATTCTGGCTACGTTTGGATTGTGTGTTAACCATACAAGTGGACATGTCCATAGATAGTTGGATCTACAGGTCTGGAGTCGTGGGGAAGTTGGTCAGAGAGAGAGGGATGTTTCAGAGTGTGATTAGATGTGTTCAGTTGTGTGACTAGATGGGACCCCTTGGGAGAGAGCAAAGAGTGGAACGCGGGCCCAGCCCTGTGCCCTGCAGCACATTCAGAAAGAGCAGAGGGCAGGGAGCAGGTGAGGGAGGCTGAGAAGGAGCCTCCCAGGAGGTGGGAGGGAAGCCCAGAGGGTAGATGTCTCAGAATGAGAGAAGCAGTGTCACACCTGCCTCTCCCTGACACCGTTACCTTCTGACCTAAGGTATGGTTCTGGGGCCAGAGTTTGGTGGGAGGGGAGAGCCCTCAGCCTCCCCCTTCTCAGCTTCCCTTCCTTCTTTGTCTCCCTGACCCTTCCCTTCCCTCTGCCCTCCCTTCCTCCCTCTTGCCCCTCCTCTTGTCCATCTCCCTCCACCCCCTCCCTGTTCCTCATCCTTTGCCTCTGACATTTTGCCTCCTCCTCCCTGTAGGCCCAAGCAGAAGCCAAGAGGGAACATGAAGGGGCTGTGCAGCTGCTGGAGGTAGGGTCCTGGGAGGGAGACCGGTCTTGGGGGGAAGGCAGGGAAGTTCAGAGAGAGCTGGAATGGACTTGGTGGCTGTGGGGGGTGTGGGGTTGCAGGAAGGGCCCTAATATGCTCCAGAGCCTAGGGAATCCCCTCCACCATTGGCCTCCTTGGGCAAGGGCACAGCTGGGCAGGGGCTCCTGGGTCTGGTGGCAGCAGTCTCCCACTGCCACCCACCCCCAGAGGCTGCCTTCACCCTGAAATATCCTTCCATTTAGGAACTGCCCAGTCAGTCCAGGGAGCCGACCAGGTAGTGTCCACTTGGGCCCTCTCTCCCTCCCTCCCTCCCTCCCTCTCTGCACAATGACCCCACAGGGTGAATGGTTCTAACCTGTCCTCTGTGCTTTCCTTTCCTGCCACAGTCGACTCTGGATTCCATGCAGGTACAGCCTCCTGTCCCCCTACCCCCCACCTCCCTGGGCCATCCCCTCCCCTCCACCTCTCCAGGCTGGCTGAGCTGTGTCTCCCTCCTTGGGTCCAAGTGGCCCGTCCTCATGGCCGACAGAGGAGGGTATGACCGGTAGCAGACCCGAGAATGCGTAGATGGGCTGGGATTCCTACAGGACCTGTGGGCTACCTCCTCGACCCAGTCATGCCTGGCAGACACAGGGCCATCCCTCCTCTAAATCCTAGCCGCTCAGACCATGAGGAAGTTCATTAGTGGCCTAATGGATGATCCTCTTGATATTGGCCAGGGGAGAGGCCCCAAATATTGGTTCTTTCCTGATACCTGAGAAGAATTCTTTGAGAATTGGCTCCTTCCTGCCACAAAGATGTCCCTAGTTCCTGTGTGGGATCTCTGTTGAGGGTAGGGATTTGGGTCACTGACTGTGGGAGGGTGACAAGCAGCAGAGCCAAGGAAACTCCTGAGGAGGTCCTGGCAGTGGAGCTAGGAGTGGGCGCCATTCCTTTTGGCCTAGAAGCTGCTGGAAGCAGGAAGTGCCACTGCCTGGGGTGTGGGGGTGTGCTGAGTGGGAGGTGGGGCCCCCACAGGGCTGGTACTTCACCTCCAGCTCAGACACTATGAAGGCAGTGGGGCAGCTAGGCTGAGGGCTGGTGCCCAGGCCTAGGGCTGGGCAGATAACGAGCTGAAGCTCAGTGTGGCCTCCTTCTATGTGGACGTGGCACCGGATGGGACTGGGCAGCTTTGCTGGGCCTGGTGACTTATGGGAAGTCTTGGCCCAGGTCCGGGTTCGAGAGCTGGAGGAACAATGCCGCAGCCAAACAGAGCGCTTCAGCCTCCTGGCACAGGAGCTCCAGGCCTTCCGCCTGCACCCTGGCCCCTTGGATCTACTCACCTCTGCTCTGGGCTACAGTACCCTTGGAGACCACCCCCCACCCCCCTGCTGCTGCTCCACTCCCCAGCCCTGCCGGGGGTCTGGCCCCAAAGGTAAGGTGGACCCCAATGATATTAGTCTGGGGCTTTTGTATAGAGCGGAGCATTCAGAATCAGAGAAAGCTAGCAACTCATCCAAAGTCACACAGCAAGTTAGAGCCAGGCCTGGCTAGAACCAAGACTCCACTGGGGGAGAAATGAGTTCACAGGAGTGGCTCTCCTGGAGTCTGACCAGGCATCTTGGCCACTGGTCCTCTCCTCCAGCAAGACTCTGTGGTCATGGCTAGGAAGTTGGGCACTAGGAATCAGCAGCTGGTAGTATGGGCTTATGAAGAGCTGGGCCAGGCATCAGGCAGTTCTGGGGGCCCCAGCCCCTCTCACATAACAGTCCAGGTGATTCTGAGCATGCTGTTAAACCTCTGTGGGCTCTGGTTTCCTAAGCTGTAAGACGAGAATAATTCAGTGCACTTCATCGAGCTGCTCTGAGAATTGTGTGATATAATATATGTGAATCACTTCCACCTCTAAGTAAGTTTCCCTCAAATGTTTCCTCTAAGAAGGAAACGTGGCTATGGAGGGCCTGACCCTCATATCTAAGCAGCCCCACCCTTGCTCCCTCGTACCCTTCTCAGGCCACACACCCCACGTGCCATCTTCTCTTTAGATCTTGACGTCCCTCTGGGCTCCCCAGGGCACTGCACTCCAAAGTCTTCTGAGCCTACCCACGCCACTGTTACTGGAGTCCCTCGAAGGACAGCCAAGAAAGCAGAGTCCCTCTCCAACTCCTCTCGCTCTGAATCCATCCACAACAGCCCCAAGTCATGCCCCACGCCAGAGGTCAGTGGTGGGGCGGGGGCCTGGGGAAGGTGTGGAGTGGCCCTATCCTCCTCTGGGGTCCCCAGGAGTTGGGTGGCTGCTGGTCCATGTGGGTCCCAAGTTGGGAAGTGGAACCAGGCCCTGGGAGAGAAGGCCTGTGGATTCCTTTATGGGTGAGGAGCTCAGGTGGAGCCTGTCCCACCCTCCAGGGCTTCCCTGCAGATCCTACTTTGGGATCTCACCCCTTGGGGGCTCAGAGAGGCCCCAGAGTCCTGAGCTGGATGGAGGGAGACACTTCGGCACTAGGATCCCTATAAAAAGACTGTTCGTGCTAGTGTCTGTAGCCGAAGCAGATGGTTGTGTGAGAAGGAACACAGGTTCTAGGATTCAGATCCCAGCTCTGTCTTAGGCGAGTCTCTGACCTTATCTGGGCTTTGGTTTCCTTGTCTGGATTTTGGAGCTAATAAAACCTGCCTTGTAATGTCGTGAGGATTACGTGAAAAAATAGAAGGAAGAGGACTACTGCAGGGCACATGGTAGATGCTTAACATGTGGCAGCTATTTTCATTACCATTGCTTGATCACCTTGTCCCTATCTCCACCTCCCAAACCCCTTTGTGGAGGCGACAGGTCAGCCCTGCTGTCCAAGGTTTTGGAAAGCAGTAGAACCCAGCCCCGGCCTCTACTGCCCCCTTGTGGGCTAGAATGACGGTGCTGGGTTTGGCGGTGTGGTGGTCGGGCTGCCTGTCCCCCCCCCCCCCCCCCAGCCCTGGAGCCTTCTTCTGGGGACTTCCCCGCACCTCCTTCTCCTTGCCTCCAGCTCTTCCCATCTGGAGTGCTTTGCTGTGTTTCCCCCTTAAGGAGACAAACTGCCCCTGGTGGCCCACTGCACACGAGTGTGGTTGGCTGCTTCTCTGATGAGGAGAGCGGTCTTTTTACTGGGCTGGTGCAGTAGAGGCCAGGGCTCAGGAGAGATGCAGGTTATTCTCACTCCCCTTTGCCAGAGCAGCCGGCCTGCCGGGACCCGCGGGCTTGGGTGCTGATGTAGAAATCATCAGGGGTCATTGCTGCTGGCATTGTCTGGCATGTGCTCTCTCTAGTCTCAAAGCAGTGCATCCTCTGGCTCATCCTGGAAACCTGCCTGCTTTGCCATTGGCCCTGGGTCCTGAACTTCTGTTTGCCCACAGGTGGACACAGCCAGTGAGGTGGAGGAGCTGGAGGCGGACAGTGTCTCCCTGCTCCCAGCAGCACCAGAGGGCGCCCGGGGAGGAGCCAGGATCCAGGTCTTCTTAGCGCGCTATAGGTGGGCCCCTTCCCCCGCTTCCCATTTCCCTAATGTTTCAGGTATATGGGAGGAAGGGACCAGGTGAAGAAGAGGTGGTGGGAATGGCACAGGGATCCCAGTTGGACACGTCGTCTCAGCCTTATTGGGCCAGGTGGGTGCAGTGAGTGCTCTACTTGGCTATTGAGGATGAGCAAGTATCCGTAATGGCCTAGTACAGTGGGAGAGAGGAGACGGGACATGGAGGTAGGATATAGGTCACTGTACTCTTCCTCCTCTGCACCTCTTTCAACAGCTACAACCCGTTCGAGGGCCCCAATGAGAATCCAGAGGCAGAGCTTCCTCTTACTGCGGGCGAGTACATCTACATCTATGGCAACATGGATGAGGATGGGTTTTTTGAAGGTAGGAAGGTAGCAGAGTTATTCTGTCCATCCCTCTGCTTTCAAGCTCATCTTTCCAAAGACCCCCAACTACCCATACCCTCCCTCAACTAGCTCAGCCCACCAGAACTTTTCAGACTTAGCTAAAGGGCAGGCAGAGACCTGGCAGCCCATGTGGAAGGGACGTAGGAGAGGGGGAAGCTGGTCTGACCACAGATCTGCCCCAAGAAATTTGCTTTTGTGCTGCCAGATGGAGCATGACGGTGCTTAACACTTAGTGACATGGAAGTTGGGCATGCAGCTTGGGTCTGATGCTGGGCTTCAGTCAGGTGTGGCAAAATGAGGGCCCAGAGCCCAGGAAAGAGTGTTAGTAGATAGTCAGCAGGTGCCAGGGCCCAGGAAGGGCAGGGGCTTCAGGGCAGCCCTCCAGTGTCCATGGGGAGCTCAGGCAACTGAGTAGTGCCCCGTTCCTGAAACTGGGCAACAGGGCAGGGCCTGCAGCAGAAGCAGCTTGGGAGACTCCTTAGGGGGTCCTGGCCAGACAGCAGGGGGAGTGACGTGGTGCCGAGACAGGGTTGGAGTGTAGGCAAGGCAGGGTGAGGACTATAACCACGGGCGGGGATTTAGGAAAGAGGTTAGATCTGAATCTATAACATCCAAAGCTTTGGGCTTGTAAGGCTGGGTCTTCAGAGCCCGCTCAGTGTGCCCTCCCCAGGCCCTGTGCCTGGTCTTTGAGTAGCTGCTATGAATGAGGGTGAACTCATGAACTTGAGGGAGGCTCAAGTCCCCAGAGGTCTGGATAACAGAAGTGGGGTTAAGTATTTCCCAGAAAAATGACTTTAAATGAAACAAACAAACCGAAAACCCAGAGCCAACACCTTTTCTTGGGGTGGGGAGAGGACAGCCAAACCACAAATATTAACCTCAGATTATTAGAATTTGAACTGCTCCATCTGGGATAGATTTAAAGGCCTGGAGACAACAGGGCCCATGATGCCATGTCCCTCATCACATTTAGCTAAGTGGCTGCTTCATATATGTCTGGTCCCAGATGGGGGACTGCTGTCTGTGGCTCCAACACTGGGGAATGTGGCCCTGGCTGTGGCCAGAGCTCCAGCGCCAGCTGTTACAGGTGGTGTGGGTCTGCGACGGCTCCTCTCTTTCCCGTCACATACCTTAGCGTCAGTCTTATATTGATGTGCTCAGGCTGCCGGACCAAATTACTTTCCTTTCCCCTGACCAGGCGGTGCTTTCCTCTCCCGTCGAGGATGTCGGTTTTCCACTAAGGGAGGTTGAAGGGTGCCCCTGTCCCCTACTCCTCAGGCCTTCGCAGTATGAAAGTTTTCAAACGTGCGAAACACGAAAGCGTAGTACAGTTAACACTCCTATCCTCACCACCTAGATTCAGAGGTTGTTAACTTTTTGTCGTATTTGCTTTTCCCGTCTGTAGGTTAAAAAAGAAAAATGAGGTAAAAGTGAGTTGTAGACATCATAACATTTTGCCTAGCCACGCTTCGGCACTCATCTCCTCAGAACATGGACGTTCTCTGGCAGCCTGGCAGAGCTTAGCCTCACCTAGGAACTTGTTAGAAATGCAGACTTGCAGCCCCACCCAGACCTCACTAAGTTAGAATCTGCATTTTAATGAATCTCCAGGCGATTCATAGGCACACTAAGATTTAAGAAGCTCTGGCCTCTATCACCGCAGTGTTGTTATCGTCCCGGTGAATATTAGCAATAACTCCCTCCTGCAACACATCGACTGCTCTTGCGTTTTAAAACTACTCATAGATAAATGTTGATTTGCATCAAATGCTTAAGATCATGCACTAACCTTGGCTCAAATGCATTTATTGGACCGGTTTTTCTCTACCTCCTCTCTGTCTCTCCCTCCCCCGCCCTCCCTCTGCCAGGGGAGCTGATGGATGGCCGAAGGGGCCTGGTCCCTTCCAATTTTGTAGAGCGTGTGTCCGACGATGACCTCCTTACCTCCCTCCCTCCGGAGCTGGCCGATCTGTCCCACAGCTCGGGCCCTGAGCTCAGTCTCCTGAGCGGAGGTGGGGGTGGCAGCAGTAGCGGAGGCCAGAGCAGCGGGGGCCGCAGCCAGCCCAGACTTGAGGACGAGGCCGAGGGGGCCGAGCTCAGTCTGAGCCCCCAGCCTGAGGGCCTGGGCGGGCCCCCTGCCGTGCCTCACCCCCGTGGTCTGGTGGTCCTCAGGCAGCTGGCCCACAGTGTGGTCCTGGCCTGGGAGCCGCCTCCCGAGCGTGTGGAACTATGTGGCTACCATATCTGCGTGAATGGGGAGCTGCGTCAGGCCCTGGGGCCAGGGGTGCCCCCCAAGGCTGTGCTTGAGAACCTGGACCTGCGGGCTGGGCCCCTCCGTGTTTCTGTGCAGGCCCTGACCAGCCAGGGCAGCTCCGACCCTCTGCGCTGTTGCTTGGTGCTGGGTACCCGAGCCGGGGTGGTACCTAGCCAGCTGCGGGTCCATCGACTGACGGCCACATCTGCCGAGATCACCTGGGTGCCCGGCAATAGCAACTTGGCCCATGCCGTCTACCTCAATGGGGAAGAGTGCCCCCCTGCCCGCCCCAGCACCTACTGGACCACCTTCTGCCACCTGCGGCCTGGGACTCTCTATCAGGCCCGAGTAGAGGCTCAGCTCCCACCTCGAGAGTCCTGGGAACCAGGCTGGGAGAGGCCGGAGCAGCGGGCTGCCACTCTGCAGTTCACCACACTTTCGGCAGGTATGCAGGCTTGGGCTTTGTCCATAACACCCAGAAGGCCAGGCCACAGGAGTTACGGGGGAACCGCAAACTAGACTGCCATCTCGAGGTGAGCATCCTGCATCCCCTGGTCTGGTGCCCTTCTCCCCTCAGGCCCGCCTGATGCCCCCCTGGATGTGCAGATTGAGCCGGGACCCTCCCCTGGAATCCTGATCATCAGCTGGCTACCAGTAACAATCGACGCTGCTGGCACCTCCAACGGCGTCCGGGTCACAGGCTATGCCATCTATGCTGATGGGCAGAAGGTATGGCCTGGGGACTCTGCCTCCCGTACCCCAGGAACAGGATGGGGGCTTTCCTTGCCATGCTCAGAGGCCTAGTCTCCCCAGTCCGTGGCATTTGGGCACCACGGAGCCAGCAGACTGGTTGAGGGCATGGGCTTTGGTAGCAATGAGTGCAGTTCAGATCGCATGTAGGAGGGGGATTAAGTGAGAGGAGATACGCCAAGGCCTTAACGCAATGCCTGGCAGATGCTGACCACCTTTGTCACTCTCATGTCCTGACATGTGGCCCCCGCAGCCTCCCTTCCCCAGCCTGCGTTCCCTCCACCCTGCAGATCATGGAGGTGGCCTCGCCCACGGCAGGCAGCGTGCTGGTGGAGTTGTCCCAGCTACAGCAGCTGCAGGCGTGCAGCGAGGTGGCTGTGCGCACCATGTCGCCCCATGGCGAGTCAGCCGACTCCATTCCGGCGCCTGTCCCCCCGGCCCTGGTGGCAGCCAGCCTGCCAGCCACCGTCCCCTGCCCCTCACCGCGACCAGGCTCCGAGGCCAGACCACCCCTCGCTCCAGCTTCCCCAGGGCCTGGAGACCTCACTTCTCCCCTCCGGCGCCCTGACCCCCGGGGAGCTCGAGAGCCCCTTGGGGGTCTGCCTCCTGGAGAGATGTCGAGAGGATCCCATGAGGAACCCCTGGCACCTTGCTCTCAGGTACCTGCCAGGGGGAGGGGGAACGGGTGGAGGCTGGGAGAAAGGCCTAGGGCTTTGGCCGTTCCTCAGTGCCTGCCATTCCAGAAGGAGGCTGGGGCAGCTATGCTGGGTGCCTCAGAGGATGGGAAGGCCAGCGAGCCAGCCATGGGCGAGAGAGCTCCTGACCCTGCAGTTTCGCCCCTGGCCAAGGAGGAGACTCTCCCAGCACCCTCCTCTGCCCAGGGAGCGCTGGTCCAGCGGGTGCCCTGTGCTGAGGCCTGCCGTGGAGGAGACCCAGGGTCTGGGCTGAGGCCCAGGGCTGAGGTATGTGTTTGGGATGTTATAGAATTGGGGCCTGCCTCCCTGCCTCTGCCAGCCAAAATCCGGATGTCCTCTCCATTTATTTTCTGCTCTGGTCTGTGCTCTGTGTCTGCTTCTTTGTCACTTTGTCTTCCTGGATTTCTCTTTTCCTTTTGGCTGCTATCCTCCCCCCACCCCCCACTTCCCTGCCCCCACCTGTGAACACTTCCCATTTGGAACATGACCCTCCCTCCCTCTGCCAAGGGACCTCAGTCATTCCGATTGGGGCTGACCCTCCCAGACCCCCCAGTGCCTCCTGCGACCCTTTCCTCTCCTCCTTTGTCTCACCTCTTGCAGAGGGAGGACACATCAGAACTTGGGGGCCGTCTGATGAACTCCCTTGTGGACCATGGCCGCAACTCTGATCTCTCAGACATTCAAGAAGAAGAGGAGGAGGAGGAGGAAGAGGAGCTGGGTTCCAGGACTTGTTCTTTCCAGAAGCAGGTTGTTGGCCACAGCACCAGGGAGAACGGGGCCAAGGTAATGGGGGGAGGGGAGGCTGGTGGGCCCTAGATCTCGGGTTTCAGGGGCCTCTACCCCACGTGCCAGCCGCTGCTCCAGTCACCACTGAGTGCCAGCAACATTCTAGGTGTGTGGCCTGGGCCCTGTCCCAAGCAATTGATAGGAAGTTGCTCAGGACTGGCCTCTGCCCTCCTGGGAAGAAAGGAGAAAATGAAGAACTCTCTTCTGCTCCTTCTCCTGCTCTAGCCCACCATGTGCAGAGCCCCGGCCATCTGAGATCCTTGCTGGGAGCTTCTAGGGAGGGGTGGGAAGGCCTCTCCGCTGTTACAGGCGTGGTCTGCTCCCTGTCACTCCTGTCCCCCGAAACCCAACATCTGTGCAGCCTGTTCCTTGGGCGTGTTCTGTAATTCCTCCTCTGGCTGTGCTCCAGACATGCTATGGGACTTTGGGCCAGCCCCCTTTCTGGTCTTTCCTCTTGGAGGAAGCTGAGGGAGGGCTATGGGGTTGCCTGCAACCCCTGCCCTCGTTTGAGGACAAAGGTCACAGCTCTATCCTCTTCCCATGGACCTTTCTTCCCTGCTGCCCCCCTTCCCTCCCAGCCCCAGCCCCAGCCCGACCCCTTCTGTGAGACTGACAGTGACGAGGAGATCTTGGAGCAGATCCTGGAGCTGCCCCTCCAGCAGTTTTGCGGCAAGAAGCTTTTTAGCATCCCCGAGGAGGAGGAAGAGGAGGACGAGGAAGACGAGGAGGAGGACGAGGAGGATGAGGAGAGGCCAGGAGCAGGCTGTTCTTCCCAAGACCCTGGCCCACCTGCACCGGCAGTGCCAGGGCTTGGCTGTGACAGTGGTCAGCCTCGAGGACCTGGCCCGTGTCCCTTGTCTCCAGAGCCCTGCAGGGCTGGGGACCGCCTGGAGGATGTGCCTGGACTTGCTGGTGGAGGTGGCCGGAGGAGAGGAAGTGGCTCCCCTGAGAAGCCCCCAAACCGCCGGCGGTCCCCAGACCCCCGTGAACACTGCAGCCGACTTCTCAGCAACGGCGGGCCCCAGGCCTCTGGACGACCGGGCCCCACACGGGAGAGGGGTAGCCCCCCCATGGGCGAGGGGACCAAGGGCTTGCCAGAGGCTGGTGGGCGAGGGCGGCCGCCCCCTTCCCGGAAATGCTCCCGTGGCCGGGCCCCAGAATCTAACCTGGCCAGCTGCCTCTCCCCCAAGTGCTTGGAAATCAGCATCGAATATGATTCTGAGGACGAGCCGGAGGCAGGCAGCGGGGGCATCGGCATCACCAGCTCCTGCTACCTCGGAGACGGGGAGGCCTGGGGCACAGCCCCCATAGGGAGGTCCAGGGGGCCTCTGAAGGCTCATTCAGGCCCCAACCCCTCTCCACGCCTTTCGGCCTGGGAGAAGGGGGAGCCAGAGCGGAGAGGCCGCAGTGCAACTGGTAGAGCCAAGGAGCCACCCTCGCGGGTCCGTGCCTACCCCCTACCCTGGCAGCCCCCTGCCTGCTGCCGCCTGGTGGCCCTGCTTGCTGCCCACCAGCCGCTCCCATTCCACGCTGCTGCCGCCTCCATCCGCAGAGGTGGGGCTGGGCCTCTGGGCTCCCTCTCCTACCTCTTCCCACCCACATTCCACTGCTTTGCTGCTTCTGCTGATCGGAACTGGGATGGATGCACAATATTCTGTGATCGCTAGTCGCCAATTGCTGCCAGCCAGCCCCCTGCCTTTGGGCGGGGTGGCCCTTTCCTCTGCCTAGCTAGTTACGTCTTCGGGACACTGACCCTGAGAAGAAGTCTCCTCTCCCACGCTCCTCGGCCAGCTCTGGGAGCTAACCTTAGTCCCCTCTACTGCACTCATCTGCTAGGGTGGCCAGAGCCGGGGTCTCCCACCTTCCTCCCGCCATGGGGGTGTCCGATGTCTCCGTGAGTTTGGGCCAAGGCTCCAGGAGAGGAATGTTGTGCCTCTGCTCTGCTGTGCTGCTTACGCTAACGGGGCAGAGCTGGGGAGTGTGCGTGGGGTCCTGCCCCTGCCCAGGTGCCCACCTGTGGGATGGTGTGTCACTTCTGCTGTCTGTTGCCCTCTCTTTGCAGGCAACAGAGACTGGGGAGCCCAGAGGGCAGGATGGCTCTGGGCGGAGGGGCCCCCCGCGGAGAGGGGCCCAGGCCTCCAGGGCGAGCACCACTGACTTGGGTGAGCACCCGAAGGGACCTAGGCTAGGCTGAGGGGCCTCTCCTCACCTGATGCTTTGGCCAGAGCTTACCATCATTGCTCTCTGCAGCCCCTCTGAGGAGCCCCCCAGAAGAAGCGCTGCTTTACCAGGACCTGCCTGTCAGGGTCTTTGTGGCTCTGTTCGACTATGACCCTGTGTCAATGTCACCCAACCCTGATGCTGGGGAAGAGGAGCTCCCCTTCCGGGAGGGCCAGATTCTAAAGGTGACTACCTATTGCTGGGTCCCTCGACCTCTCTCCTTTGCTGTACTGGAGGTATCCTAGCCTGCCTGGGTGCGAACACAGCTTCTAGAGCCAAATGATGTGGAGTCAAATCCTGGCTCTGCCACTGGGAGCTGTGCAACCTTGGGAGTTAGATGAACTAACTGCTCTGGGCCTCAGTTTCCTCATTGATAAAATGGGGATAACGTTCATGTCTGTCTCACGGAAGTGGCTGAGGATTAGGTTCAGGATACACAGAGTACTTCAATTGCCTGGCACAGGGCTCAGCATGATAACAACCCTTGCTGTTAACATTACAGTTTGTACTCAAGTCTGAGTATTTGTTGAAGCTTTTTTGCTGTTGCTCTGAGGTTACAGGGATCTAGGCTGGGGTGGGCTGGGGGAATGGGTGTGCAGTGAGTGACGATGATATGAAAAGGGCTATCTCCTCTCCTCCCTCTGATCCTTATCCTTGGCTGTGCCCCCCTATTTCCCATTTCACGGCCTGTAAACCGTAGAGTGTTCTTCTGCAATCCTGAGTGTGGTGCTGTGGGGCTCAGGGCCTGGGACCCAGGGCACGAGCTGCACTGGTCTCCTGAGACAACTGGTCTTTGCCTTTAGGTGTTTGGGGACAAAGATGCTGATGGCTTCTACCGGGGTGAAGGTGAGGGCCGGATGGGCTACATCCCCTGCAACATGGTGGTCGAGGTGGCTGTGGACAGCCCCAAGGAGAGACAGCAGCTGCTCCAGCGTGGTTATCTGCCTCCAGATGTTCTCATTGAAGGCTCAGGTATGAGCCGCTGCTGTCCCTTACCTTCCTTCCACCACCCTACCTCCAACTCAGCCCCTCCTGAGCGATTCATATGTCCAGGGTGGCTGGGGAGCCTCATTTATCTGGAGTTCAGCAGAGCCTATGGCCTCACAGAGATTTAGGCCAGTGTGGCCACAGCAGTGAGCTTGCCGTGCGGAATGGGGGTCTGCGGCAGAGGGGAGGGACCATGTGGTTTAGATCCTGGAGGTTGGGGCTGGAGGAGGAATGCCCTTTAGAAACCTGAGCAGAAGAACCCAGGCACAGCCCAAAAAGGAGACTCCAGAGTCACTATCCTATCCCCCTCCCCTGCCTCAGTTTCTCTCTTACGTATACTTGCCTTTCTGGATCAGGGAATGGTCCCTTTGTGTACTCTACAGCCCGCACAGCTGGGCCTCCCCCCAAGCCCCGCCGTTCCAAGAAAGGTGGGTGAGACCCCCTTCTCCCTTGGGGCCTGAGAGGATGAGTGGGGGTGGGGGGCACCGCTTGGCTCTCTGGGGAGACACAAGTGGGATTTTGAGCAGGTAAAGGGAATTAGGGCAGGCCTTCATCCACTTGCATTCTTTCCACTGGGGGAGCCTCCTTTTTAATGGGGACGGGGAGTGGTTTGCCAGGATCTCTGCTCCAGAAAGCACCTGACTAAATTCTGTGCAGCCTGGAGCAAGTCCTTTACCTTTTCTGGGTCTTAGTTCACTACCACATGCAAAGGGCTGGGCTCCGCTCTCTGAACATCTTTCTCCTGCCTCCCTTGTGTGAGACTGAGCATCCTGCCTGCCCCACACGGCCCCCAGCCTGGGATGAGGAGGGGAGTGAGGGGCCGGGCTCACTTGCACCTTCTCTCCACAGCTGAGGTGGAAAGCCCTGCCCAGCCCTGTGCAGGTGAGGGGCCATTCTTGTGCTGGGGATATTGGGAAAGAGGTGGGCCTGGGTGGCCCCCTGGGTTCCCCCCTGGGGCTGCAACTAGTGGAGGGGTAGTGAATAGGGGGTCAGCAGGCCTCCAGTGTGGAGGACAGTAGGGCGTGGGGGGTCCAGAGAGAGCCCCTGGCCCTCTCCCCCTTCCCCTGCAGGCCACACCCAGCACACCTCCTCTGCCAGCCTGAAATCTCCCCGTACCATGGTGGCTGCATTTGACTACAACCCCCGGGAGAGCTCCCCAAACATGGACGTGGAGGTGAGGACCCACAAATAGAGCTCAGCCAATGGGGTGCTGGCAGCGCCTCCCCAGGGCTGACACCTGCCTTTTGGGCTCTCCACAGGCGGAGCTGCCCTTCCGGGCAGGGGACGTCATTACTGTGTTCGGAGACATGGACGATGACGGTTTCTACTATGTGAGAACATGGGGGTGGGGGGGTGCCATATATGCCCCCCTCACCAGCCCTCTCAGGGAGGGCCTTACTAGAGCCAGGGACGGGGATGAGTGAGGGTTCCTGAAGTAAGCCTGAAGGATGGACCAAGTCACTGCTGTGGCAGTAGTACTGACCTCAGGCTGTTTCCCTGGGGGGGGGGGGGGCTGCAGGGTTGAGGGGGCGGGGCTGAGGCCTCTTTCCTGGTCCCAGTCTCACCAGCATCTCCTCCCCAGGGGGAGCTCAAAGGACGGAGGGGCCTGGTTCCATCCAACTTCCTGGAGGGCCCTGGTCCTGAGGCAGGTGGCCGGGACAGGGAGCCCGGGACACCCCAGGCTGAGAGTCAGGTCAGTAAGCTGGGGCTGTACCCTGCCGGGGTGGTGGCGGTGGTGGTGGTGGTAGCGGTGGTGGTGGCGGTGGTGACTGGGACAGTGTTGTGGGAAGGAAGCATCCAGGTGAGCACTGTGCCCAGGCAGGAACTGCCAGGGAGGACCCACCCGGGGCCAGCTCCCTCCCAGTATGTGCCCCTCTCTGCAGAGCAGTGATGGCTGGGACCCCGATCCCTGACCCACTGACCCAGCTGCCCCCACCCCGGGGATGACGTAGATAAGGGGACCTTGTGCAAAGGCCCCCTGTACCCTCCACATCTCTAGCTAGTCATAGCCTGGGTTTCAGGGAACCTCCTGCCCTGTTGGGTCTCTCTGTCTCCCAGGTGCCCAGCAAGGCTCTGCTTCCTCAGGTCCTTGTTCTTAGAACCTGCTTCTCCTGGGGCGGGTGGAATACAGTGGAGTTCCAGCCTCACAGGGCAGGGAGAGGAGGAAGAGGCCAGGCCCCAGTGGGAAACCGTGGGCTTCCATCTGCAGTGTTTCCAAAGGCAAAGGCTGTGCAAAGTTTCAGTTCCTGTGAGCTGGGCGACCTGGTGACTGAGCAGGGAGCATGTGAGTCAGTCCATAACCCATCTCCTCTCTTTGTTCCCTGTTCTTCAGAGAACGAGGAGGAGACGAGTCCAGTGCTAGATGGAGATAGATATATATAGAGAGCAACGTGTAAGTGGGGGGACTGGCCCCCTCTGTTCATGTGACTCCCGCTCCTTACATCACCATCATCAGACAGTGTTCCTTTGTCTTCAGTGCTGGAGCTGACCTGGCTTTTCTTCCTCCCCAGAATGGAGGAGAGAGATCTTTCTGTGAGCCAGATCCGGGTGTACGATCATCCCCTCCCCTTGCCTTTACTCTGGGCAGTGCCAGCTATTATAGGAATACATGTCATTTTAGTACATAATGCCCCATATTAGCTGACTCCCCATATTCTATAGCTCCTGCAGCTTATAGAATATTGGGTGACATCCATAGCATGACTCATCAGTATATTATGATACTGTTTGACTATGGTATTATAATATTGTGATTATTATTGGTGGTAAAAGGATGATACCGCAGTGCCACCAGTAATAATAGTCTCCCCACCCTTGTTCTCTGCACTGTAACCTGTGAGGGAATCAGATACATGGTTTTACTTCTAATACTCAATTTTCTCTGCTGGAGGGAATAAAAGGTGGGCAGGATGGGGGGGGTACTTAAACAACTGGAATCTGCAGATAATCACCAACCATTCATCCCTGGGGTTCAGAAACCTCCTTCATTTGTTCCCGCAGCAACCCCTCCCTCCTGGGATATTATGGAAGGAGCCCTGGGAAGGAGTGGGAAGAACCAGGGACTCCCTGGTTGGCCACCAGCGCTGACTGGTTAGCAGTAGATGCCTATACCTCTGGGTGCCAACAGACCCCCCTGGAGGAAGGCCTTGCCACATCATCAGGGCCTTGGGTGTTGTGGCCCCAGGCTGGGCACCCGGCTCCCCTGCCTCTGGTCCGGGCTCCATGTCTGGCTTTGGCCAGGAGATGGCCAGGCTCTGGTGGTGAAGAGGGGGAGGGGCTTGAGGAAGGGGTATGGAGCAGGGGTGGCGAACCAAGACCTGTAGGCTTGCCAAGGCCTGACTGGGCTGTGCCAGGCATAGGAGGTTACGGTGAGGATGTGGGAAAGCGAAATAGGGGCAGGGAAGCTTCCTGTTGGCTCTCCTGTGCACCCAACCACTGTCCTTTAGGCCACCAACAGCATTGTCTGGGTGGGCCTGGGGCAAGGGGAGCCACTCAACGGTTGCTAGTGAAGCTAGGAGGAGATTCACAAGGAAGAAATGCTAGCAGGGGTGGCAGGGCAGCCTCCAGAGCTTGTGGTGGGAGCTAAGTGATGCCCTTGTGGCCCAGGCCCCCTGCAGCCCTCTCAGAGGCCATTTAAGGAAGAGTCCCAGTCTTCTTCTCACAGAGTGGGCACTGCCTCCATTCCCTGAAGGGGCTGGGGCACTGCATTTGTGGGGCAGGATGAGCATGTGAGGTGGTGCAACAACTGCTTTTCCTTGGGGGGATGGCTGTCTCTCTATGCGGTCCTGGCCCTTGCTCTTCCTTTGCTGTGAGGGGGTGACATGGGGGGAATTTGGGGCATCCATCCCAAGGGGGAGGTCCAAGGACTCCAGAGCTCTGTCAGCCCAGTTCCCTATAGAGAGACCCAGAGAAGGGGAGGGGCTTGCCCAGGTTCTGGAAGCAGAACTGGACTCTGTGGCTGTCCCCAGCGCTCCCACAGCATCATCACATGCATTCGCCCCTCTGAGCTCTGTTGTGGGGCGGGGGCAGTGGTGGGGTGGTGGGTCTCTGGTTCTTGACCGTGGGTCTGTTATGCGGAGGATTACAAGAACCTGAGGTCGTAGGGTGGAGGAATCAGGTGGGGGCAGGGAGTCAGGCTCTGACGTTGCCCCTTTACTCTCATATTCTAGGACTGGGCCAGCGTAACACAAGGGCCCCCGGTGCCCCAAGGTCGGCCCCGTGCCCCTGGCCTTGGCCGCTTCCCCGCGATTCAACTGGGGGGGTCACAGGGCACGAGAGACAAGGTGTGGGGTCTCCTCTCCAAGGGAAAGCAACTCCTAAGGAAACTGGGCTCTGGGAAAAAGGAGTGATGCTGTGGCCCGTCCCACAGACAGAAGCAGCGCCCCCCCCCTTCACTCGGAGGCTCCCAGATCACCGGGTGGGAAAGGCCCTGGATGCTCTTCTTCCGAGTTACTGTGGCACCTGGATGGGAATCAGAGACTCGTGAAGGTCAGAGCTAGATGCATTCCCAGGGATGGCTCCTCTGGATGGGCACCTTCCTCCAACGGGAGGGGAAACGGAGCCGCGAACGAGGACATACCTTGGTCAAGGTTGCTGAGCAGCCCAGTCACCGTGCCAGGACCCTAGGAGCCGGGACTCCTGGTTCAGCCGCCCATGCCTGGTTTCCCACCACACTCTGCTGGTCCCTTCCTGAGTCCTCCCTGCCCTGACAGCCCTGGCTATCCCCATAGTCTTCCTTCCCCTGAAGGCAGGTTTGCACTGGATCCCCTGGAGCCCCAGCTCCCCGTGGGGCAGGCGGGGCAGACCCCTGTATATATGTACATACTCAGTGCCTCAGCCCAGCCTCCCCCTGTCGCTTCCACCACACCGGCCCAGGGAGAAAGGCCATGCCAAAGCGGGCCAATTGGGCTCCACAGTGCTCCGCCCCTCCCTGCAGGCCTGGCTTCCTGGCCCCTGTGTGTCCCCACTCCCAAAGGCCCTGGGGCCAGCGGGCAGAAAGCCAGAGTGGGGTTTGCCTTATTTTGCTCATCGGATTCAACTTCTCTTTTGCATCATTTTCCTCTGGTCCCCGTCAGAGTCTGGGGGCTGGGGAAGAGGGCGGATTTATGCAGCTATTTTCATACATTCTCTGTTCTGAGTGGGGTGGAGAGCTTTCCACCCTTACCCTCACCACCCCCTGTAACCCTGTGGCTGGGTGAGTGTCTCTGCATGTTTCCTTCACCATGGTGGGAGATCGTTTGGCTGAACCCCCCACTCCCGCCTTGGTCTCCAGGGGTGTGGAACGGTGGGGGCATTTGTTTAAAAAGACAATTTTATTATAATAAAGTCTATTTTTACAAAACCCATGCTGGGCTCTAACCTGGGGCAAAAGACACCCGGAGGGGTGGGTCATGCTGAGCTTTGGACTTGACTTTAGAACCCAGAAGTTACATCCGAGGGCGACCAGGGAAAAACCAATGAACACCAAGAAGACGAGCAGCTCCTGAGTTTCTTCTCTCAGGAAGGCAGTTTGGTAGCTTCCCTAGTCCCTGGTTGTGGGGCCAGGTGTTTGGAGTTGGGGCAGGGTCTTGGTGGGAGAGAGAGACCTGGGGAGAGGGGCGGGGAAACCCAAGAAAAGGCACCAGGTTCAGGTCAGTGGACTGAACACACCTTGCAATGTTGACTTTTCCTGTCCCAAGTTCATAGAAACAATGGATTTAAGAATGACCAAGGTGTGAGCAAGCAAACCATATAGTTCCATTCCGAAAGGTGGAGAAGGGACTCTTAGTAGATTAGAATAGCAGGACTCCAGAGAGAACAGAAAACAGTTGGGAGAAATCTCAAGGCAGAGTGTGTGTGGGGGTCCTGCCCCCCCCCCCCCCCCCGCTGCTGCTCCATGCCCCGAAGTGGTGTGGACAGAGCAGAAGAAGCCCCAGGCGCTATGGACAGCTCCATTAGTCCAGATTCCACGCGGGGAGCAACAAGGTTCTATGGACTGCTGCTATTCTCGCCAGGGGCCAAGGGGCAAAAATGAGGATGTCTGCCTTTACATAGAACAGTGGGAGGGGCAGCATGGGTCAGACACCGGGTGGTACTCCAGGTGGTTGGCAACACCTGGCAGAAACAAGAAGTATCACTGCCCAGGTGAGGAGCCACCCAAGTGTAGCACCCTGTGCCCACTCCCTCTCTCGCCAAAACCCTCCAGCTCACCACCAGCCTCATCTACTAAGGCCAGGGCACAAGTGAGACTTAATATCAATTGGGACAATGTGAATGATGTTGAGTCTTCTGACCTATGAACAAAACACACGTCTCCATTTCTTCAGATCTTTCATTTCTCTCTGTAATGTTTTGTTTGTAGGTCTTGTACCTCTTCTGCCTGATTTATCCCTAATCATTTAATGTTTTTGATGCTATTGTAAGTAGTATTATTATTTAAATTTTTATTTCAGATTCTTCATCTTTAGGATATAGAAACATGACTGAATTTTATATTTTGGCCTTGTATGCTGCAACCTTATCAAACTCACTTCTGAGTAGCTTTTTTTTTTTTTGTAGGTTCTTTAGAATTTTCTACATATGTGATCACACCATATAAAAACAAAGACAGTTTTACTTCATCCTTTCAAATTTTGATGCCTTTCATTTCTTTTTTTCTTTTTTTGCCCTACTGCATTGGATAGAACCTCTAGTACAGTGCTAAATAGAATCTGCAGGAGTGGACGTGCTTGCCTTGTTCTTGGTCTTAGGGGAAAACATTCAGTCTATCACCATGAATAATGATGTTAGTGACTTTTTTTTTTTTTGTAGATACCCTTTATCAGGATATTTATCAGGAAATTCTCTTCTACTCCTAGTTTGCAGAAAGTTGGGGGTTTTGTTTTTTGTTTTAAATAATCAACAATGGATGTTGGATTTTATCAAATGATCTTTCTGCATCTAATGGGTGATCATGAGGTTTTTTTTTTCTTAGTTATGGCAAATCTTGTTGATTTTTCCTGGGATAAATTTCACTTGGTCATGATGTAGGAGGAGGATGGAGGATGAAAGCCTGTGCCCATCTTGTTGAGTTTGAGGAATGTGTTCAAAGCACAGATAAGGGTGTTGGGTGGGGGGATGATTGGAGATTTACAGCCTAGAGTAGAGACTCTGGGGTTATAATCTGGGCTCCTCTACTCTGTTTCCTCTCTGTCTTAACCCCAGGGACTTTACTCATTAGGGAATCTCCATATACTTCTGCCAAAACAAGAACTTCCCCTTGGGTCATAATAGCCTAGTCCTCAGGGCAAAGGAGAGGAGCTGTTGTTTCCATTCTCCAACCCAGCCAGGGCCCAGCATCGCCATGTAACTAACTCCCTTTCCACAAACTTTTGCTGGCCTTGAAGGCTGTTTTGCTGCCTTACTGTTGCTACAGGGTAGGCACTGAGCCAAGGAGGGCTAGACTGGCAGGAGAAGAGGACCGGGAAGCTCTGCTCAGCCCACCCTCTGCTGGAGATGCCTGGTTCTGCTCCCCCACCCGCACCCCATATACGCTCCCCTCACCAGCTCTTGCTATTTTCTGCTGTCCAACAATTTCACTTGTGGGTCTCATTTCGGTGACATTTCCACTGTCTGGTGAGGCTGATAGATCCGGCTATTAATTCTGCTTTGCCTAAAATAGGGGCCAGTATCCATATTTCAGGAATTGGTCTACAACAGAACTTAACTGTAGTACTAGATGCATAAAGATAATGGAGCAATATCTTCCAGGTGCTGAAGAGAAAGGAATCTGAACTTGAATTCTATACTTGGCCAAATTATGGGTCACACTTCTGAAGCTTCCCACAAGGGAAATGCTTAGCCCCAAATGCTTTGTATGTCAATGCTGTTGTTTCAATCTTTGGTAGTGTCTGACTTCACATTAAGAAACCAAACCAAAAAGTAATTCAAAACCACTGATTACATAAAACAAATCAAAATTCGATACTTTGAGAAGTTAAAATGGAGGGAGAGATTATTAGTTCTTTTGTAATTAAATTACTGTTTCTTTGTGAAGCTGTCAAATAGAGGAGTATTGGTTTTAAAGTAAACACCACCCCAAGCCCTTTCTGTTAATAGGCTTGTGTGTCTGCTTCCAGGATTTTCATGCACATTTAAATGTGTATATACATGCCCATGGCATGTATGTGTGTCTGTGTGTTTTACATGAATTGTATCATGTGGTATATGTTTTGTAACTAGCTCTTTTCTTTTAGCAGCATATCTTTCTATATGGCTACATATAAACCTCCCTCATTAGTTTTTTTTTAAAGGTTTTATTTATTTATTCATTCATGAGAGACAGAGAGAGAGAGAGAGAGAGAGAGAGAGAGAGGCAGAGACACAGACAGAGGAAGAAGCAGGCTCCATGCAGGGAGCCCGACGTGGGACTCAATCCCGGGTCTCCAGGATCAGGCCTGGGCTGAAGGCGGCGCTAAACCTCTGGGCTGCCGGGGCTGCACCTCCCTCATTAGTTTTAAAGGCTGCATAAAACACCATCATGTGCACCTACCACAGTGTGGCAAATTTTTTTTTGGCTTGTTTCTAGTCTTTTGGTTGTGGCAAAGGAGGCTGAAATGAACACTCCTGGGCAGGCATCTTTGTGCTTTCCTAAGAATGCATGCCAACGACACATTTCTTCTTGGCAGTAGAATTGCTGAGTCAGAGCAAATGTACATTTTGGATTTTGACTGACATTGCCAAATTACCATCCCATGGCATGGGGCCAACCTGCACTTATTTTTTCCCACGCTGACTGGTGCTGGCTTTATCAGCCTTTTAAAATGTTAACTAATCTGATTGGTAAAGATGCTGTTGAATTCTTTAGTTTGATGCTTCATAGTTTTAGTGTTTTTTTGTAGAACTTTGTCTCATGGACCCCACCCCCCCCCAACACCAATAACTACAGGTATAAAGGGGGGTTAATTTAAAAACCATTAAACACTTGTATACTCATATAATTTGACTTGTCTTTACCTTTGCAATACTACCCTAAACAAATCTGGGAACTATTTGAAACAAACAAAAGCTTGAATTTTTATTTTATTTAATTTTAAAAAATATTTTATTTATTCATGAGAGACTCAGAGAAAGAGGCAGAGACATAGGTAGAGGGAGAAGCAGACTCCCTGCAGTAAGCCTGATGTGGCACTTGATCCCAGGACTCTGGGATCGTGACTTGAGCCAAAGGCAGACGCTCAACCACTGAGCCACCCAAGCACCCCTAATTTTTTTTTTAAACCTTGTTCATTAGAGAGTGCAACATTTCTAGAATGGTGGGTTAAGAATGTCCAGTGTTTATCAGACCTATGAA